TTAATTGAAATTCGGTATTTAATATCAACATAAGAAACGTATGGTGATCGGATATAGAAAACATAATTAACATAATTTTCAAAAAGACCTAAATTAAGATTATCATTTGCATGAATGTGTTGTCCTTGATAACTAACTAGACAATGTTGAGAAGAACGATGAAATCTATATTCTACATTATTCTCTCCATATTTAGATTGTCGTTCCAACAATCTGAAGAAAAAAAGAAAAATAACAAAATTAAAGAAAGTATTACACCAAGTGGAGTAATCCTTTGCAAATAGCTGAAGGGTCACTTTCTTAATGATAATTCAAATTCTCCAAATAATATAGTAGTGTCAAATGAGATATTATCCAACAGGTTACATCTTCTGTAAAAACCAAAAGACCCGTCTCTTGATGTAATCTATTTTATCATAATCAGATATCTTGATAATGTCTTTAATCATCAAAACCGAATAAACCAGTGTACCAAGCGGGCTGTAGGATATTTCAATCTATTCCCATTTAGAGGTAGTAAATTAATAAGTTAATCCATAAACCTTGAATTGAAAATAGTCACATCTGAGCCTGAGTCAATTTTAAAAATACAAGAAATCCCATTGACAAGTCCTTCAAATTGAAAAAATTTCAAATTACTAAGAATCCTACTAATATGTGGTTGTGAAGAATCATTAACTCAAGAAGCTTGTTCATTCGATGTTAAACCCGCTTCTGAAGACTTAACATAACCTAGTTTCCCTGTTCTGGACATCGGACAAGAGTAAAACTTTTCTTGTGGTATTTCCAAGACTCAAAATTTTTTAATCATTTTTGAGAGTCAAATGGTTTGTTGTGATTTTTTGTAATCTTGGTCATTTTATTTTGTGTCACAGAAGAAACTGAATGATTTTGAGAAATTCTATCATTTAAGATTTCCATCATCAGCTAAGATGGAAACCGCAGTCAATGCATTCAAAAAATGTGGGATATACCCCTTCAATCCCAATGTATTTTCTGAATAAGATTTCAGTGCTTCAAGAGATACATCTCTAAATAAATCCAACAACAATAATAATCAAGGTAAATGATTAACACAAAACTATTCTTATATAAACTTTCCTCGTTGCACTCACACTTTAATAATTTCCTTTAATTTTTATTAAAAATGACCTTTTGATCCAATTTCAGAATCAGATAGAAATATTCAGCGATTTGAAGAGGTTATGAGGGAAATAATCCATTCTCAAGAAGACGCTAATCCTAAAAACCATCATAATAAATCTATTCCAACTTATACGCTTCACCATATGTCAACCTCAGATGCAGCTACACTTCAACACTCTTTATCAAATAATATGTCATCACACCAAGAGGTCACAATCCCTCTTTCATACATTCTACAAGCCAAAGACCTCATCAACCACTTGGTAAATAATATTCTTTGTAATCTTTCTTTAACTCCGAGTTCAGGTTTTCATTCATTATTTGTTGTTTTTATAGAGTTCATCCTTGAAAGCACACACTGAAGGAGGAATGGGTAAAATGGTGGAAACACTCATTGTACATTTGAATCATCAAAAGAATCTGCCAATGAATCTCTAAATATTTCTAGTGGAAACGATGCACACAAAAAATCAAGAAAAGGATATGCAGCAGTCAGTAGCGAATCATATAAAAATAAGTTGATTGCTGAGAAAATAATGACTATGAAGAAAGAAAAGATTGACAAGTAAAAGCCAAGAACAAAAAATGCAGAAAATATGACTTTAAAAAAAAAAACATGGAAATTGAAAAAACAGAAAAAAAAACTCTCACTAGGAAACGAAAGCAAACTTCTACCTTAGCTACTGGAAAGCAAAGTAAAATATGCAGACCACTTGAAGTCTTAAATCAAAATAATTTTCATGGAAATCACGAACAAGTCGTCGATGGTTCTTCATTATCACAATTTTTTTCAAATGATAATCTAGCTCCGTGGTCAAATAATGAATTTTTATCTTTACCAGACTCAGCTGTTGTGAATACTGAAAGTGCACTTTTCAATGGAGAACAGGTAGAAATTTGTTACATGAACGAAGATTTAATGCAAGCTTTAAATTTACAGCTGTGATTTATAATAATTATTATTTATAATTATTTATCATATTTTAATTTGATAGTATTTATTATTTTATAAATTAAACCTTACTAATTACAGTACAAATATTGTGATACTAATCAATTAATAAAAATGCAATAATTTGTGAGGTTATCATTAGTAAGTGTATATTTAACTGAAATAAAATTTCGTAAGTAAATCTGTATTTGTTCTATTAATTATCTATTTTCTAAATTCGTGCAGCGTATGCCACTCGTGCCTTGCGCCTTCGCGTGTGCTACTTGTGCCCCAGGGGGGTGCCACTCTATCCCCACCAGTGGGGCATGGAGAGCAATTTCTGATGGTTTCGTTTTCGAAATTAAAAATGAAAATGGGATGAAATAAAAAATTTTTCAACGTTCAATTCTATGTTTCAATGATTCAAGCTATCTATTTATGTAATTTAATTTTCGAAAAAGTCATATTTGAAAATATAATTGTGGATTAAAGTTAAGGTGCCGCGCATGCCCCGCCCTCCCGTAGTATCGGTACGACATGACGTATCGCAGATGTATCGTGAACATCTAGTTGACACTCACCAACTGTCGCAGTTGAGTTGTGATGTAATGTTGTCGAACAGTCAGATGAATCTACAGTGACGAGAATCGGAAGAGAGATAGTCGAGTCATTAATGATTGTGGATTGTAGAATCCTGGATTGTTTGTAGATTCGGTATTTAGTGAAAGATGTGTTATGAATCCATTTCAGTTGTGATGGTAGGAACATCGGTAAAAGCGGCACAGTTTGTGACCGTGTCGTTGTTTGAAATGGGACGCGAGAAGACGTACGGAGCGTTTTTCCAGACATCTTGTGTAAATAATATTTCACACGAAGTTTAGGACGATCGCCTAAAACGTTATAAACTCACGTAAATAATAAACAGAAAATTATATAAAAGAACTTTAATTGAACAAATCAACATATAAAATAAATTTATTGGTTAAATCAGTTTACTCAATCAATTTGTAAGACTGACTAAAAAGAATAACAAAAACATGTTACTATTCGTTGTCTTTGGTAACTAACTAAACAATGTTAAAAAGAACACCGAAATCTATATTCTACAATGGGCAATTCTTGGCTATTTCAAACAGTTTAAAACATCAAATCGCCAATTCTGTTCAAAGTTGGTAGACTTGTTACCTATACAGAGGTCAACATGTGTGCAGGGTTTTAGATCAAAATATTGATAAGGGGCCGACTTATCTGTTGAAAAAATATTGGACTTTTTTTTATTAATTCAATTTCTCGGAGACTAATAAGGATATGGACATAATTATTTTTTTAAAAGACGCCAAAAGAGTTTCATTTTTAAAATGTAAATAGTAAAATACCAAATCATTTATTTATGCCATTGTTATGAACAATTTTTTCAAAAAATCGACGATATCTCAAAAAACGATATTTTTTTTAAATTTTTGCACCATCGTGTTCCTTGTCATTTTTTACATAAGAAACCTTTGAGAAAATCAAGTGCCCGCTATTAGGATTAAGACAGCACTAAAATGAAACGAACCGCGCGCTAGCTCCTCGGCCGTTCGGCCGTCCGCTACTCGTGCGGTTCCAACGTTGCTTGCGGCAAATGCCTTTAACGAATAAATAATTTTATAATCTATCAGTCTATATGTATTTATTTAAATAATATATAAATTAATTAATAAATAAGTAATTAAATTTAAATTAAATTAACTTATTTACTTAATATAACGTAATAGAAAGTAATATAAGTAATATAAATGAAATATTGTTTTGTACAATCTGAAACAACATTGAATGAAACATTTACTCTGTGCGTTTGATTGGGCGTGAGAATGCCGTATATTCAAAAATATATGGTAGAAAATAGGTTAGAACAAATTACTTGTAAATAACTTATTAAGAGCATTATGGTGTAGGTCCGATAAAAAAACATTTTTAATGCGGGCTTTGTAAATATGCGCCGGTCTCTAGCCCGATCAAACGCAGAGAGCACATATTTAATTTGAATATTATATCATATTGTATAAAAAAATAGTTCATTTACATTACTTATGTAATCAATTAATTTGTATATTATTTCAATAAATACATATAGACTGATAGAATATGAAATTATTTATTCATTAAAGGCAATTGCAGCAAGCAACGTTGGAACCGCACGAGTAGCGGACGGTCGAGCGGCCGAGCGGCTAGCGCGCGGTTCATTTAATTTTAGTGCTGTCTTAATCCTAATAGCAGGCACTTGCTTTTCTCAACGGTTTCTTATGTAAAAAATGAAAAGGAATTTTTTGAGATATCGCCGATTTTTTGAAAAAATTGTTTATAACAATGACATAAATAAATGATTAGGTATTTTACTATTTACATTTTGAAAGTGAAACTCTTTCCGCATCTTTTAAAAGAAGAATCATGTCCATATCTTTATTAGTGTCCGAGAAATCGAATTAATAAAAAAAAGTCCAATATTTTTTCAACGGTTGATAAGTCGGCCCCTTATCAATATTTTGATCTAAAACTCTGCACAGATGTTGACCTCTGTATATGTAATTAGTCGTACGTTGCACGTCTGCCTAAACCTGAATAGTTCGTGCTTGCACTCTCTCTCTTTCTCTCTCTCTCTATCTCTCTGTCTTTCACTTTCTCCTTCGCTACTTCTTCAAGGCATTCTCCTTCGAGCTTGCTCGGTCTCATCTAGTGATCATTGATAGCTAAAACAAAGGCTAGTAGTTAGGCGCATTATCACTATGCACCCAACGCTGGCCATTATGCCTTGCCGAGGGCTGGGGAAATTAAGGGTAGGTAGACAAAGGACAAGCAAAATGCTTACCCTCGTCACAAAGCGTTCGATTCAACTTGAATTAAAGTATTTTTTAATATTTTTATTAAGTAAATAAAATATTACCATCATAAATTACTGCTATTTTTGTTGGATTTTTAACCACAGTCGCTCTGAATAGTGAAAAAAGAGAAAAATGTTCTGAGCTAGATATTTCTCCTTTCAAAATCGATAAATCTACTGATAAGTCCATCTGGAAATTTTTATTCATTAACAATAATTGCTAATTAATCACTCATGCATTAAGATTTTTTGGCAAAAATCCTTACAATATGTGCTATCTAATAGTGTAAATTTTATGTTTTACCAAAAAAACCGTTTTGCAGTTATAGAGATGAATGCTTTTCTCACCTTGTTCATTAGAAATATAATACTAATCTCTTCTCAGAAAGTACGTTAAACAACTTAATTATATGACCAGCATTGACCAAATGAAGTAGAGAAACTTTAAATATCTGGTAATTTTTATCCACAGCACCTATTGATCCACAGATATGTTCATGGTTAATAATGTTAAATTATAATAATCGCGTCAATATAGAATGTCATAATTATATAACTAGCTGAAAACACCTCGCTCGCTAATGCTCGCTCGTAGCATTTTAATGCGTCTCTTTACAAAAAGAGTTGTAGAATACGTATGCACGAGAATGGATTTGACTTGATATTAGTGAAAATTACATAATGCGATTTACATAATGAAATTATGATTTATAAATTAGGATGTACAAGGCAAAGCAGATATATACTGTGATATTTAATTGAAAATATATATTTTTACATAAAAATTATAATAATTATAGACATAGATTAGATTGAATTAAATTATTCAATCCATTTATAATATATTTGTAAATAGAATTTTTATATACATGACACATTCACAGACAAATAGATCACGAATGAAGTGAATTCATTTGACATATCAAATTTATTGAAAATGATTAACTTATCGAATGAGATTATATTAAATGCCCTATAATTCTATTGCGAATATGATGCAAATGAATATTTGTATTTTCATAGAGAATCATGAATTACATAGCAAATTATCATTAATGTACATTTATGTCGAATTATTGAATCATTATCAATTCATTTCATTAATTGTAGTATAAATTTTTTTTGAAGTTGCGATTTATTAAGTAAGATGAATCATTAATATAACACATATATATATATATATATATATATATAGTTATTAGAAAAAATTTATGTCAAATATATTATTCAATATTATTATAATTAGAATTAGGAATTTCTTGAAATATTCAGGTCATACTATTTGAAAAATTTGAAAATAATGTTAATAATAATATATTGCATATTGTAAATATAATAATTCAAATATAGATTAGCTACACTTACGAAATGTATAGAAAGTATATTTAAAATTGTTATAAGGTAGGGATTAGAAGGTGATGATAAAAATAGAAGAATGTGTGTAAATTTTTGATAAATTTTAATCACAATTTAATTGAAAAATATTACAATGTCGATACAAAGACACAAAAAATTACATAAAAATAGTGTAACGAGGGATGTTATCTGAAAAATGGAAAATTTATTTAAGAACAAATTCCCACGATGCAGAGCAAACCGCCGCTCTGTTAAATACGTATGATAGTACGTGTATTCGCCTTAACGTCAGATGATTTATACTAGTTGTCTTATATTAAACGGAGTTGAACTCACCTTAAGTCACGTGTCTTGTGACACTTGTTGAGTTTTAAGTGTGAACGATTTTACTCCTAATCTTCTTAATCCCGTAGATGTAATTGGATTAAAACCTAAGCCTTTTTCAATTATTTAAGATACCAGGAAAATTAAATTACGAAAACGGCGAATAAATTTAACAGACTTTAATTAATAAAAATTACTACAGTCTTTGTAGGACCGAAAGACTAACGAACGAGAATAAGATTTTACAATTAATTATATTCGGTGAGAAAGAGAGAGAAAGTAGATTCGAATTATACCGCGAACTAACGCTCGATGCGAATACGAAAAATAACGCTATCACGAATAGACAAAATACCGAATGTATTTTGTATCGCTTATAATAACGAAAGGAGCACCTACCATGCGGTGCAATTACGGTGATCAGCCGTAATTGTTGTTGCAAAAATATCAACGGCCGCTGCCCCTTGATTACACAGGACCACAAATGGGAACCGGAAAAAGTCCTCCGGCAAAATTGATACCCTATATGTATTTCGACGCGCTGATTCCAAATCCGAGGTCCACATAACCCCAGCACGTCGTGTTCAAGGACATTTGAAGGTCAAACGCATTTACTACGGGAAAACATAAAATCTGACCACGGATTCGGAAAGAGCGGGAAATTTTACGTCCAAATATGTATTTTCTATTTTTTCCAACATGACCCTCCAAGGTCATCTGAGGGTCAAATGACTCACTGATAGATCAAATTCGTATTTCCCACATACATCATCACAACTAAAGACATGCGTACAAATGAGTCAGGTATCTTTAGGTTTCTCGATGCGCTGAATCCAAATCCGAGGTCCACATAACCCCAGCACGTCGTGTTCAAGGACATTTGAAGGTCAAATGCATTTACTACGGAAAAACATAAAATCTGACCACGGATTCGGAAAGAGCGGGAAATTTTACGTCCAAATATGTATTTTCTATTTTTTCCAACATGACCCTCCAAGGTCATCTGAGGGTCAAATGACTCACCGATCGATAAAATTCATGTATTCCATATACATCATTACACTACAGATTTTTAACTATAATTTGGTCACGTATCTTTAGGTATTTCGACGCGCTAAATCAAAATCTGAGGATCCTCGGTCTCAAATTCAAATATGAGTTACGGTGAGAACTTAGTTCATGGTTGTGTTAGCTCTCTTTATGGTTTTCTCGCGCGGATATTGCCAATCGATTCCAGTAATTAAAATTCACCTAGCTTGATATATAGACTTGATTTCAGATAGTGATGTCGATCAAAAAGATTTACGAATGACGCGTTCTTTTATTAGCAAACGATCTGCGGAGCGCTTTTCTTTTGTGTGGAGTAGTAGTGTCTCTTTTAAGAGACCAACAATAGTCTGACATCATGTTCACATCCCAATAGCCTTGATATCTTCTTTCGATGTCTTTGAAGTCTTGGTGGAATCTCTCTCCTTGCTCCTCGCTAAAGTCTCCTAAATTTTCAGGAAAGTAATCAAGATGAGAATGAAGAAAATGAATTTTCAAATTCATCAAGCAACCCATTATTTTGTAATTATCCAACATCTCATTTACTATATCTTCGTAATCGTCGTCTTTATTATTTCCTAAAAATTTATGCTGAACTTCTCTAAAGCTTTGCCACGCGTTGCGTTCCTTTATCGTCATTCTTCTTTCAAATTCTTCATCTCGTAATAGTTCTCTTATTTGTGGACCATCAAAGACTCCTTCGTTGATCTTTGCTTCCGAAAGTTTTGGAAATTTCTCGAAGAGATACATAAAAGCGTTGCTTTCGTCTTGTGAATTTTTCATTGCTTTAATGAACTGTTTGACCAAACCAAGCTTAATATGCAAGGGTGGGAGGATGACTTTATTTGCAGGTATAAGACTTTCGTGTAAAACATTTTTATTACCTGGGGTCAAATTTTGTCGAAGTGGCCATTCTTTTCTCACATAGTGTTGATCTCGGGCACGGCTATCCCATTCACAAATGAAACATGAATATTTCGTGAAGCCACTTTGTTGACCCAACAAAATTGTTGTTATTTTCAAATCTCCATCCAACTGCCACCCGTGAGTATCATAATGCAATTTCTGTAGCAGTAAATCGAGATTACTATATTCCTCTTTCAAGACAATGGAATGACCAATTGGTATAGGGGCGTATATGTTACCGTTATGGAGTAAAACTGCTTTCAAGCTTCTCGTAGAAGAATCAATAAACACACGCCAATCAATAGCTTCATACTCTACGTTTCCAAATTCATTTATCAGTCCTGCAACGTCGTTGCAATAAACTAAATCGCATTCTTTCGAAAAAAATTTTCTAAATTGTTGATCACGATTTCGGTAAAATGTGATGGAAGTACCAGGAGCCAGACAATTTTTTTCTTTCAATCTAGATGCTAATAGTTCCGAAAGTTCTTTTGAAAGTCCTGTGTCTCGAACTAAGAATGATTAAACCCATGAAATGTCTGGTCTTGCTCATCATCTTCTATATCTTCCATTCCATCAGTGCAACCTCTTCTACTTGGCCCCTCTCTCGTTGATTCTTCTGTTTGCATTTCTATATTCTCAGCACCTACATCGGACACATTTCTACTGATCGAAATCTCAGGTTCTTTAGCATCCAAGGTGGCGAGGACATTGTATTCGTGTGCCGAAACCCAGGGCACCTCCTCGTGGTGGCGGCGGGTAACGGCTTTTTTTGTCTTTTTTGTTTTCCGGCAAAGCCCTGGGGTGAAGGCATTATGCCGTCATGGTCGGCACACGAAAGAGTACGATGCAGGGTTTCGGATGCCCAGTATCGGCGGTTGGTCGGGGTGAGCAAGCGGGCCCGCAATCGTCGTCATCATGCGACCGCAGTTCCAGTTCTACACTGGTGGATAACTTGGCCTGTGTAGGATCTACTGCTACAAGAATAGAATTGGCACCATGCAAAGAGCGTATTGACAACTTTTGTGTTGTTTGTGGTAAATTTTGTTTTAAAACTCAAAGAGAATCTTTCACTGATAAACTGCTAGAAAATTATAAAATAGTTTTCCCTTTAATCACTGAACAAATAAACAACTGTTGGACTCCAAAAACTATATGTTTAAAATGTAAGATACAACTGCACCAGAAAATATCGCAATACATCTCGCCAATGATTTGGCGTAATCCGACAGATCATAATACAGACTGTTACTTCTGTTTGACTGATACACGTGGATATAATCGTAAAAATGTATCCCAATTACGTTATCCATTCGTTACGTCTGTAACTCTTCCTGTTCTCGCCACCTTGGATGCTGAAGAACCTGAGATTTTAGAAATGCAAACAGAAGAATCAATGGGAGAGGGTTCAAGTAGAAGAGGTTGCACTGATAAAATGGAAGATACAGAAGATGATGAGCAAGACCAGACATCTAATGGGTTTAATCAAGAAGAGCTGAGTGATTTAGTTCGAGACACGGGACTTTCAAAAGAACTTTCGGAACTATTAGCATCTAGATTGAAAGAAAAAAATTGTCTGGCTCCTGGTACTTCCATCACATTTTACCGAAATCGTGATCAACAATTTAGAAAATTTTTTTCGAAAGAATGCGATTTAGTTTATTGCAACGACGTTGCAGGACTGATAAATGAATTTGGAAACGTAGAGTATGAAGCTATTGATTGGCGTGTGTTTATTGATTCTTCTACGAGAAGCTTGAAAGCAGTTTTACTCCATAACGGTAACATATACGCCCCTATACCAATTGGTCATTCCATTGTCTTGAAAGAGGAATATAGTAA